AAGTAGGTGGAATCAGATGCATGCTGAGCTTTCTTATGTAACTTTACACCCTTTTGATTAAAGACATTTGTCATCATCATCATCATATGAGAGATTGAAATTCTAACATCTTAAATTGAAAATTTGAAATCTTTTTACTGATATGGTAAGCTGTTTCAATTGATTAAAGTATTTCATTAATTTTGATTTGGTGTGACTGGACTATTATTTTATTTAAGTTTGATTTATCATTTTAGTAAACAGTTTGATATTTAATTTATTACAGTAATCACGCAAGATTTCAAATTCTTACAATAATATTTTTTTTAAAGTTTGATTTACCAGTCCAATCTTGATGGCTTAATATAGGTAAATTGTTTAATGAATTAAAAGGAGTTGTGGTAAACAATTTTTAACTAAGGTCAATTTTACATTTACACTTACATAATTTTATTAATATCAGATCTAAATTTAACACCTATCTTATTTTTATGGTTCAAGTCCAAGATGACAGAGTTGTGCCAAGGAAACGAACAGAAGACCAACTCCTTCATGCATATTTCATTTGGCTTGGCTCGGTTTGAGGGGATATAGCTCAATTGGTAAAACTTCGCTCTTGCAATTGGGTTGAATGTCTAATTGTCCATACGGTAATATTTTTATTATTAATATTATGAGGTTTGCTAACATGAGTCCACTTTTTTCATGAAGGATCGTTTTAGTAATGCGTTCCCAAATATTTGGACAAAATTATCCTTACTTAAAAAATAAATAAATCTATTGTTAGGGTTGGTTTAGTAAACTAGTTTTATTAAGATTAAAAAATAACAACATCCTTATCATAAGCCCTCAAAATCTATGTCATTCACAATCCACTCCCAATGTCACCTCAGAGCAATTGTCGTCAGCAATTCAGGATTGATAAAGATGGGTCAAATTCAAGTATGAGTTAGTCCAAATAATTTATTATAGAATTATAAGTTGTTACAAATGATGAGATGATAAACTTCAATAATAACTAATGATATAAAAATAAACTATAGATAAACACAAATATAATAGAACAAACTAAATCCTAAATAAGATCATGTTTTATCAATCCAAATATATTTAACATGTCTCTTCAAGTTAAAGCCTAATAAACTTTAAGCTTGTTAGAAAGAATTCCATTCAAAATGAAAATAATCTAACTAATTAATTATATGGTTCCACAAAAACATTAGAAATGTATTGTAATTGCTAAATCTTTTGGTATAACCACCATGGAATGATCATTATTGGTGAGAAAAGAATTCATTGGTGACAAAATTCATCATTGAGAGAAAGTAGACCACTAAAATGATCATTGGTGGTGAAAGGAAATCCATTAATATAATCACCATCGAAATAATCGCCAATGAGAAAATAAATCACTACTAACATAATTTGTCAATGAGAGGAAAGAAGGGCCACCAAAATGATTGTCGGTGAGAAGAAAACTGAATGATATAATCACCATCGGAATGATCATCAATATGAAAGAAGTTAATACTCATATAATTTATCACTTTGAGAAAATGTATCATCGAAATGATCATCGGTATTATGAGAAAATAATATATATAAAACGAAGAAAATGTATTTTGTATTGGATCATGTTGTTTTTTGTTTCTTTGAATGACTATTGCATGAAATTTGGAATTATTAGGTTGAAGGAAAAAATGAATACTAACGATAAAGTGATGAAACAAAAGGAGATGACTAATTGGAGTTCTAAATTTTCGGTATCTCAATAATAGAATAGTGACCAAATAGGTCACAGAGGAAGAAAGCGCTCTAAATGGTCAAACTCTATGAGTTAATCCAAACAATTTATTATATAAGTTGAAGTTGTTACAAACGATAAAAATGATAAACTCGAATAATAACTAACATAATAAATATAAATTATAAATAACCTCAAATATAATAAATCATTAATAAGGTTAATCTAAATATATGTAAGATTAAGCATGAGAAGTTAAATGAAGATAGTTGAATAACTCTTATATTAGATAACTATTTGCGAAGAGTTGATATTGAATGAAGTTGGGTGAGAGAGGAGAGTGAATTTTAAAATGATGAACATAATTCAAAATATCTTTCTACATCTAACCAATAATATAAGGAAATAAAAAGAATTATTTAAGTAATAGAAATCCCAGCAATATCATAAACCAATAGTATTAATAATTTGGGTGAAAAACACAATTATGTATTGGGTCTATGGTCGAGTTCAGATTCAAAAAGTAACTCAATCAACATTTAGGGTCGAGCTAGCCCACATCGGGTTCGAGCTAAATCAGACCGGACTAAAATGTGTGGATACAATTTATGCATAACAAATTGTAGTCCAAATCCGCCCTAAGCTGATTGCGGATTGTGGTGGACCGATCCACATAATACTAAAAAATATTTATTTAAATTTTAACATAGTTAATTTATTTAATATATATATATATATATATATATCATTTGATATTAATGTATAAATTTTTTAACACACTTATTATGTCCAATGCAACCAAACTTACAGATCTAATGCATTGTGTTTGAGTTAAGACGTGATGTCAAGTCCACGTATGATTTATGACATAACTCATCTATTAAATATCTTATTTTATCAGAATCTCACTCCCTAACACAATATAATTTGTAATTTCACTTAATTATATAAATGAATACAATAAAAAATAATATCACTTTGGTTTATAATAATGATAGTATAGGCTCAAATTCAGAATAAATTTTATATGTCAAAGTATAACCACAATCGTAATATATTATCATTATTCTTTACTTATGTATAAAGATCATTTGTATGTTCTTTTTCAATACTTTCATTGTGAATTATTATGTCAAATTTGGTTGTGTGAAGTACTCTATGGTAAATAATTATGTTGTCTTTTAGTTTCGTTGTAAAAATTATTTTATTTATTATTTTTTTGTTGTAGAAGTTAAATCTAATTAAATATATGATTAAGAAAGGAAAAATAAAATCCGTATGATTTAATGTCTTCTAATTTGATTTGATACATTATTTTGTTACTATATATGCTTAAGAGGGTATTATACATAATAATAGGAAAAATAATATAATGTTTAACTTAATAACATTATTGTAATTTATACACATTTATGTTATAAACATTACTCTGTTTTTTATTCAAAGTTCATAACACTATTTATTATTTATTTTTTATTATAAGTTATTTTGTAAAATAATTTTCTTATTACAAACTCAAAGGTCCCAAAAAAAATTAAAATAAAGAAAAATGGGTAGCCCAAGCCCGACTTTAAATCTGGGGCTAGAAGGCCTGAATTCACTGAAAAATACATAATATGATACTCGAGCCCTATACATTTTTGGGTTTTAGCCTGACCGGATATCCTTATATTCAAAGCCCCTTTTTACTATTAGTAAGAACCTATTTCAATGAAGAATTGGAGTATCCTCTTTAAATATAATATCAGAAAGTATCCCTTGTGAACCTTAATATTCATAACTTTATTAACTAAATGACAATTGAGATATAATAGGTGAATTTTCAAATGGGATATGCATTTCAAATAGGTGCTCCAACTATAATGTATTTGATGGGATATCATGAAAATTGATCCACTAATTTCTTTTTTTATTCAAATAAAAGACAAAAAATAATGAATAAAAAGTGACATTCAATTAGACAATAAATCATCGAATGAGATAGCAAATTAAGAATATAAGGCCTGATCCACATCCTATTTTGGACACCATGTTCATCATAATAGAGATACAATATTTAATATAATTTGTAATAATTCTATATCTCCAGTGCCCAATATTTTCTCTACACTTACACACTCTTTTAATTACTTAAGAAAGATGCTAAACATATTTATTTTCATTTAATAAGAGAATATACTTTGATATAGCTTATAGTTAGAGATATTTGAAGAAACATATATATAACGAGAAGATCTGAAGAAAAAGGCAACGAACCTGACAACAAAAACATCATCATTATAAGAAGAAGAATGTAATGAAGTAAATTAAAAAGGAGATCATGATGAAACTTTTGTACCATGTTAAAATTGGCCAAAATACTTCATCATTACACTAATATGTACACACAATAAGAGTGAATATTCACCTTAATCGTTATAAAGTTTCATCTGTACCAATTTCATCATTAAAATACTAAAAATATAATGAGTAAATTGTCCTCACACACTCCCCGAGTTTTAGTGAAATTACACAAACCATTCCTAACTTTTTTGTCCTTACATGAACTACCCATAATTTTGTACATATGTTCACTGACTATCCCTGCATGATATAAAAATGTAATATTTTAAACAAAAAATGTATGATGTGTGTAATTAATTAAACAAAATATTGTATATTGGGTAGACAAATTCAAATAATATAAGAGTCAATGCGTCTTCATTATTTGACTCATTATAAAATAGTATAAGAGTTATTTAAACATTTATTTGAAATTATTAATGTATTTTTTAATGACATAAAAATAATAAAAAAACATTTGCTTTTGTATTATTTGAAGTGTTACACAATATACAATATTTTGTTTAACTTAATTACATTCATCACATGTTTTTTCTTTAAAATATTACACTTTTATAACATGCAAGGGTAGTAAGTGTAATGTATGTATAAATATATGGGTGGTTTGTGTAGGAGGGAAGGGTGGTCGGTGTAAGGACAAAGAAGTGAGGAGTGATTTGTGTAATTTCATTAAAACTCAGGGGTGTGAGTGTAATTTACTCAAATATAAATTATTATTTAAAGATCATGAATGTAAATAAACTTTTTTTTTGGGAGTTCTCCAATTTGCTGAAGATTGATTTAGTATAGGAAAAAATAATTAAGGGACGAAATTCAACCTTTACTCAAGATAAAATAATTTAAAAGCATAATGGAGGGATAGACGAACCAAACCTATATAAATAGAACTTACAGTCAAGATTGTTGCTATTTTGCAAATTGTGTCGAAGCTATAATTGAGGGGAATGAAGCCTGGTCCGATGATATTCTCACAAATATAGCTATGAGGTTAACTCTCTAACCATCTTTGGTTCAGATAAATGGTTACGGATCAGATCCTCAAACCAAACAACATTCCCCTAAAAAAACAAAGCTTCCTACTTGGTTTTTTCATCATCTCATCTTCTAAAATGACTAAGACCTAAGACCTTTTTTTTGTTTGTTTTCTATTTCTTTATGATCTTTTCTCATGCCACTCTCTTTTTACTCGTAGTCCCCCATGAGTCTAGCCTATTTTCAAGGGAGATAATATTGAAATATATATATATATATATATATATATATATATATATATATATATAAATAGATAGATAGAGAGAGGGAAATATTGGTGGTGGAGTTGAGGATCATGAGTTGAAGAAGGTGAGAAGAGATATAAAGAAGAAAATGAGTACAAAGACAACGAAATAAAAGACAAAATTAAGATTGGTGTAGGGTAGACCCTACCATCTGACTTCTCTCTCACTCGTATAAAGAAATGACCTTGACTCCATGCACCCCTTAACCCCTTTTCAACATAAATAATTTTAGAAAATATCAATTATAGTTTATAATTCTCTCCTAAGATATATTCATCTAAACTTCCCTTAAAAAAAAGTTGAAACTTTCTTTGATGATCTTTACACCTAAAATAGAAATCCTGCATACAAAATGTGATGTTAATCTTTTTCTTTCAGAATAATGATTCCAAAATTTATACCCTTAAACCACAAGAATCATTCATCCATCAAAGACAACATTGTTCGAGTTGGGTAAGATCATTACAAATGACAAAGTTTTACTTGTTAAGTATTTAACTCAATTACATTATTAAGGATCTGAACTTGAAACCTCTTATTAATTAATACATACTTGTTAACATGGTTGATATATTTTTATTCATACACTTATTACCCTACAAGTATTTTCTATGGATGTTTTTTAATATGGGTGTTATTAATGGAAACCCTAAAAGAATTATTTAAAAATTAAAAAAATATTTTAACATCAAACTTGGGATTGAGAATAAGAATGCAAAAAAGTAGAGTATAAAATTATTGAAAAAACTATTATATTGAAAATATAAAAATGTCACGCATGCTTCTTAGTTTTCAATTGAAACATTCTATTTAGCATTCTTATCATTAAGAAAACCCAAAAAGAAAACTTTTCCCTTTCTTAATTGCTCTTAAGGTGAGCATATTTGGGGTGAACAAAATATTATTTTATCTGCTCACCTGATTTTGTCTTATTATGATTGGACTTGTATGTGTTTGAATTTGATTGGGTTTATATTTTTATTCAAAAATTAGACTCAATCAATGTTTATGTCAGATAAAGGACAAGCATGGTCTGATTCAACTGTCTCATAGCTAGTCACTTATGACTTCTGTTTATATGTATATATTCAATTGTGTATATATTAATGACATGTTTTTGGCCCAAAATATATAATGCATTACATAATGTATTTTGTTGCAATAACATCTATTAATATGATTTCATATTTGTAATTGTTTTTTTGTAGTTATTTAATACAATCTTGTGTAAATGATTTATTGGCATACTTCATAGATCATTCTATATCATTAATTCTTTAACTTTTCATCATATATATACATACATAGAAATGCTTATCAATAATATATTATTTCATATGTCGAATTAGATATTTATAATAATAATTAATATTGATTTTTTTTAATCTAAAATGCGTTATATTTAATCGACTCTAACATTCAGTTCAAAAACTAATTCAACTAATATTTATAGTTAGATTAGCTTTAAGTTTAGGACCTATTTCAAATTCAAAAAATAATTCTATATTAATATTTAGGACGAGAGAATGAAGTTTTACACAATCCATTATGGAGCACGACATGATTTTAGGGCATGGGCTTATGATGGTGGAGCCTCAGTCAGCATTGATGTTTGAGACAGATAAAGAAGCATTGTGAACCGTAGGATTGATTGGATGGAGAAAAACAAAGGTCCATATCAATGTTATTAAAACCGTATCGGTTATCAAACCGGTCAAAGTACTGACATAGTAGTACAGTGGTTCAGTAATTAAACCGCATGTCGGTTAAACCGGACATACCTCCTTATATATATGTAAACCTATAACAAACAAAATTCAAATAAGTACCTAGGTATTCAGATTTATAATTCATATTCATAATCTACTTCAAATTCACACAAACAAAAACATTAAGTATTTAACAAAATCAAAGTCTAAAGTGCAAAACATATATCAATCCAAAATTATCACTTAACAAACGCAAAATACAAATAAATGACACAAATATCAATCCTTAAAGTTGAATAATTGGTAAAGAATTGAGAATTTGAAATGTGAGAAAGTGTATTTTCACTTTTTAGGGATGAAATTTAAAAAAATATATACAAACCGGCCGGTTTGAATCGGTTCACCAGTTTTGACCGGTTCTCTTGCGTGTCCGGTACAACAGCCGTGTCGTACCGGTTAGGGGTCTGATTCATCAATTTTCCGGTCAAACCAGCCGGTACGACACGATTTTCATTACACTGGCCCAGATTGAGGAGCAAATAATTGAGATTGAAAAGGCATCAAAACTAAACCTGAGCTAACAATTGAGTCAAAGAAGTGGTTCAGTTATTGAGATGCCCGATAATAGAAACCCTATTTTCTTTCTTTTATCAGATAAATTAAAATATATTTTTCATTTTATAAGTGCCATTTTTTAAAGAAAGAATTATTTGACAATAATAATAATAATAAAAATAAATAAGAAAAAGTAACCTCGTCTGGCGTGTTACTTTTGGGAAAGGAATTGGAGGGAGTTGCGGAGAGAGATGAGATGAGAAGGGGTCCCATCTCCACACTCACTTTTTTTCTCCATCATCTCATCATTGCTCCTACTTCTTAATAAGTTTAATAACAATGTTAATAATTGTTATTCCATATTGTTTAAGGAGAAAACATCTATTCCAATCTTAACCATTCAATTTTAGAAAACTCAATAGTTTAGATGTACTCACCAATTCAAACCATTGGATTTCCCAATAATGAATGATCATGATGTTGAGTAAGTCTTTTCCACTTACTTGAATAAGTTAATCTCTCCCCTATATTAAATAATGATGTTTTCATGGAAGTTCTAAACTTCTGTTTTTCAAAATTACTTTTATGCTTTTTATTACTAAATATAATCAGAGAATATCAGTAATTACTATTAGATAGGACTGAAAATGGAACGAACTTAGGTTTACATAAGATTTACATAGGTCGAGATTCAACTCAAGTTCGAAACAAGCAATATTTCCACCTTGAATTCGCTTTGATTGTGAGTAATTTATGTAATTTTATGTTTCTTTCTTACAATCTTATATATTATTTAGGCAATGAATAGGAGAAAAAATTATAAAACACAATTTAAAGTTTTAAACACAATTTAAATTGACTATTAAGCACAACTTATTTTTCAACATTAGGATGAAAATTTATTTAGTACAAACTCTTCAATCAACATAATATAATTGCATAACAATATAACATCACATCATTGCTTAACAATGTAACTTCATTGTTTAAAAATACAACAATCACATTTATGAATTAATATGGTATTACAATTATGAATTAATAATGTAACATTATAATTATGATTAACATAATATTAGAATTATGTTGCTATATATGTAACAACAGGGTCTGAGTATCTCATTATCCGGATCTATATCCATCCAACAACAGATCTCAAAATATCGGGTCTCAATTACCTACCGATCCAAAAACACGGACCTATACCCAACTCGTTGCAAATATTATTTGCAGGTACCCATTAGGTCCGGGTAACCGTTGTCATCCTTAATTTAAGAGAGAGAAATGCATGCAATAACAATATAAGAGTATTATACATTGTCACTGCATCATCTATCATCTATTTAATTCAATATTATCAAGAATGTACTAGATAGAGGGTTTGACAGAATTAAAGATTAAATCATTCCTAAAAAGCCAAATAGCCCAAATAGTAGCCAACCAAATGACACTCCAAAGTTTCGAATATCACCGATGAGTTATCATGCTCATGTGAGTAGTAAAATGGTGAATGGGTTGAAGAGGTAGAGCAATATTGATGTTCAACCAATTATGAAGCAGCTGCCAAACTGAAAAAGTGAGATTGCAAGAGGTGAAAAGATGTTGAGAAGTTTCTGCACGCTCGTTGCAAAAGGGACATAAAGAATTTCCTCCGTGTGCTAAAGGTATCCGCCCGCCCTCATGAGAAGTGTATCCATAGTCGGTACTTGATAGACTATCCTGAAAAAATCTCCATACAAAGGTAGTGACTTTTAAGGGAGCTTTGAATTTCCAAAGGTGTTGAAGATGATTGTTGTTGATATTGCTGGCCGAGAATGTCATAAGCACATCTTGTTATACTTTTATAACATATTTTCATGAGCCTTTAATGGTTCATAAGAACCCTTTAGGATCTTGACATTATGACATTCACATGTGATAAATGAAGAGATTGAGAAATACCTGGTTCCATAGCAATATATCTTCTAGTGCACTTTCTGGTTGATTTCGTTCTCACCTCTCTGCCTTCCCTTTATGCGTTCCTTGATGATTAGGAACTCAGTTTCCTTCCTTCTCTTTGTGACACTACACTTTCTTTAATTCAGCCACTAATACTTTGAGTTCTCTTTATGTTTGTTTCTGGTTATGAGATTGTAAAATGGCATTGCTTTTCTGATATGTGAGTGTCTCTCTTATAGAAGGAGAGTAGGAGGAGTTGTAACTCCTCCTCTATCATGGAAACTTCCATTCATGAAGTGAGAGGGGAGGGAGTTACTCATAACCCCCACTAGTTTGACTCATGAATTGCCAACCATCATCACATTAGGCACTTTACTCAAACTAGTAACTTTTAAGCACATGGATCACTTGATTGCTGAAATAATCTAACAATCTCCCACTTGGTCAATGTGATGACTTGAAGATTCATAACTTTAATTGCGCACTTTAATTGAACCTTACAAATCACCATCCTTGATTGAATTGAAATGGTTGAATCACGGCGGTCACAAATTATGTGAGGCAACCTGATCCCTTCCATGTATC